AACCAGTTACTTGAACTGAGATGGACAAAACAGGCAGTCATTACGCTTAAAGGATTAGATTAGATTTTCTCTCCTGGTTTAGGTTTTTTACCTTTACTGTAAAATGGAGAATACACCACAAATTGCACGTAAAACGTAGCTGTTTAAAACGTTTGGGGCACATTTCTTGATTACGTGCCCAGTTGGCACCACCACGATGTCTTCCTTTAGGCCTTTCTCTCCGCCTGACATATATTTATCTGCCATGTTCCTTTGATTTGAAAGCAAAACCAACTATCCTCAAATGTAGAATTATATACTTTGTGTGGGACCCGTTCTCAGTTTCACCCAGATTTAGCTCTGCTCAGGAGGCGCTCTCAGTCATCTAAGTGCACGCTGGCTCAGAGCTGGTCTGTGCATGCCCAAAACCTAGCATATCATTACGCCTGAAAGAACATGGGGACAGTGGCTGACCAGTAATTTGGCTTTTATAAATGTTGTCACCACTCATTCCAACGTTTCTCCCCGTCCCAAAAGTCTGAACCGTACAGACACAACATAAAAAAGACAGAAACGTGACTTTAAGCTTGAAACGAGACAAGAATCTAACATGTACCACCCGGTGCCCCCTAACAGAAAAGTTTAATTTAATCACAATAAACGGTCACGACTACATTCAGTGGATGGTTTAGCAAGATAAATGTTTTTGTTTTCATTTATTTTACTTTTTCAGAGTAGGTTAGCTTACCAAATATGACCACCCTCTACAGCACCATAATGGACCCCGATGATCCACACCACCCGGTTTCCCTTCTGTCAGCAGGGAGGTGGTGCTGCAGGATCTGTGCGAGGACCACCAGTTTTGTAACAGCTTCATATGTGAGGATAATAAACACTCAGCACTCATTCTCCCAGCCTCCTTTGCAGATCCATACACATTCATCCTGTTTGTTCGTTCACAGTTGGTGAATAAACAAGAGGACACAGTAAAATCCGCAAAATACATTAGATGCCACTATCCACGTCTAATCATGTTCATTCTTTTATGTGCTGTGAATCACGCACATATTAAAAACTTCATCCTAAAGGCCACATGAAGTTGGCTCCAACAGTAACTAGTTATAGACTTTTCTGTTAAAATGGACTTTAACAGGGAAAATAACCTGTTAACATCCAAGTAAAGGTGGAAGGTTTAAGTCCCTGCAAATAAATTTCCTTCTCCTTGACACCTGTATGCATACAGATGCATTTCCAGGTTTAAAGGTTTAATGAAGCCAGTTCTGTTTTAAGAAATGTCTTCTGCCCGATGAAGGCATCAGGGCCAACTTGGGGCTCAGCGTCTTGCCCACGGTTACTATGAGTAGGGGAGCCAGGGTTTCGAACCATCGACGTTATGATTAGTACACTACCTGCTCTCCCTCCCATTTATGGGCTCTCTCACTAATTCTGGGTCATAATGAATTAAAAATTAAGTATATTTTTCAAATTGCGGTCGCACCATGGGTCTAGATGAAGGACTGTCTTTCCTATGAAACTACACAACTAATGAGGACACGGTTAGACAGTCAAAGCTGCCACATCTCGTCACATCCAAGTTTTTGCAAGCAAGATCTTGATGGCGTAAACGCTCAAAGCTTCAGAAATCTTTAGGTGATCGTCTCGTATACCGTTTTGTTTCCTCTGCAAAGCTTCACCTCAGAGTTAACTGGAACTTTCTGGTTTGATTTGCCTCTTGGGGCTTTTTGAGGTCTCTGTCGTGCGATTATCTGACACGTGTGTTTTTCTGTTTTCATGAGTGAATATGATTCTGGGGCTTCAAGATGTGGAGTCAATCAAACAATGGACGTCACAGTGGTGATGTTATTTCTATATACAGTCTTTCCCACTAATACATGTTTACTTTAACTGGCTTCTAAAGTAGTTCATCCACTTCTAGTTTACTAGTGTTTGTACTTTGTCTTATAAATAGAGAGATGATGTTTTTAAATGATCTTTTCCTACTTGTGTTCTGTGGTGTAGGAAGAACAGGGTCATTGCTTTTGTGTGTATGCTGGTGCAAACCCCCAAAAACTACTAATTATTTGTCCCTGCAGTCACCAGTATTAGTAATGCTTAACAGATCTGCAGTAAACGGAGCTTTAGCATAAAATACACAAAGAGTTTAAGGTGGATTTTAAGAAAACAACAAAAACCATGTAAAAAAGCTCAAAGGGGATTATAGTGTTTATTTTACTGTGTAGGCCGAACAGAAAATAACAGTGAGCAGAAAACACAACTGACATGTTCTCCTGCGTAATATTTGCCTCTCCAAAGAGCACACAGGCTCAATAAAGCTCTGTCCTCCTCAGGTGTGTGTGTGTGTGTGTGTGGACGATGTGTGGGGTATTCTACCACACGGGATCCACAAAAAGTGACTTCAAACACATCATGTTTATTCAGCGCAGGGAAAAAACATTTACCCGGTGAAAAAATCGACATTCGCTAAGCAGGAATTAGGAGGAATCTGACCCCTGGCATAAAGGTGTCTTTCTACAGCCCTCAGCCTCAAATAGAAGACAGGAGAGGGGAGGGGTGAGAGGGCGGGAGAGCCAGGAGGAGATTGGGGACAGAAAGAAAGTGAGACAAAATGCAGGCAGTCAATATTAGAGAGTGGACGAAAAGCAAGACAACAGAGGCAAAACTGTGATGAGGAAGGAAACGTGAGGCAGGAAGTAAAGCAAACTCTGAAGATGCTAATGAGCCTTAGAAAAGGTTAAAGGCCCAGGCAACAGCTGCAAAACACTTAAACAGACCGCAAAGCTAAAGGTCAGCTATAATTAAATGCTGTTATTTTAATTCACTAAAAGTGATGTTTCAGAAGTTTCAAAATGCTGTGTTTAGTGTCAAAATACAACTTTACGGGAAAATAGTGACTCTAACCAGGTGGAAACCTTTTTTTGGAATCTAAATAAACATCATTTGACAAATATATTCCTGGATCAAACTGGGAAACTGACTGTCTACCACTCCAAGATGAGAGGTTATAGGGTCTTCTCTAAATAGAGGCTGCTGACTTGGCTGTACTGAGCTTCCAGAACAGACACCTTATTGTGCCTGCGCCCTCTGCTGGCAGCAGGTGGTACTTCAGGAGCCGCTCAGAGTGACACACTTGGCTCAAACATCTGTAGCATTCAAAGTGACGCTCGGCATCCTTCTAATCTGTCTTAGTTTACTTATCCAAGTCAGGATAACCATGACCAGCTAGTGATTTGAAGCTTATTCACCACCTCTCTGCTCTGAAGCGATGGAAGGTGTTACAAACTCTGAAAATCTGACCCATATATTTCAGCTTTTAAAAACCTCCAGTCTAATCTGTAATCTTTGGCATAAATCAAAAAACACAGAAGCAGCTACAGTATTATTGTTATGCTTCTATGGTAATGTGTGGTTTCCCATGTTACAGATCCCTCAGAGGGAGAGTAGTTACAGGTATGAAAAGTGCCCATGAATAACTAGCATTTCTGAACAGGCTTATAAAAAACAGGTGGTCTAAAATAGTTGATTTATCTGACTCCCTGCAAACTTCTGATTATAAACATATTCAGGATTAAAGTTGCTTTGACCATGACCTAAAACAAATCCTGATGGTTCTGCATAGTGAGCTAAAGCTTCTCTTAGTCAGGAGGAAAAGGAGATTTTTTTTTGATGGACTGTCAGACGAGGGAGGAGACAGAAAAAAGGAGGTGGCACAAAAGTGAAAGAGCATTCCCCTGGCTACATCTCTAAGAGACAAACTCACACCCACATTTTTCTTAACATTTAAATATGCAGCAGAGAGAACAGAGCCACCAGTGTCGGGTGAAACCTATCAGCAAAGCATGCTCTGATCTTAGGTCTGCTGCATCCTTATTGGTCAAGGTGTGCAAAGTAGGCTGGGAAAGAAACGCAAAGCAATTTTACCACGGTTGCAGAAAATTGGACAGGACAAAAAGGTCAGTGCTCCCTCTAGAGGTGGAAAGATGGGAGTGCGGTGCCAGTGGTCAGTCGGGGCCCTGGGGTCCTGCTGGACTGAGGAGGATATCGTTTCCCGAGGCAGTCGGAGCGGAGGCAGCATGTCCCCTTACATCTGTGGTCAGTCGGTGTTTTAAAAGAAACTGAGTGCACTCTGGTAACTTTTATCATCTTATAGATTTAAAAAAAAGACACACACGTCTCGTACAGTATTAAAACCTTTACTCATGATACAACAAACAGAAACGAGATTCAGAATTAATGACTGAAAAAAAAGTTTCTTTTTTTTTTTCTTCTTTCAATCCCCAAAGCACACAATAGTCAATCAGCTCCACATGTACGATGGAGTAAGATACAAACAGGACAACGAACAGACACAAGAGAAAGAGAGAAATTAATAACGAGTGACAGATTCTTCCATTCTGATTTTACACTTCTCGTATTTGTTTAATACTTTGTAATAAACAAAAGATGAATAGCATAGATTGAAAAGACTGATACAAGAAACGAGACAAAGAAACTGTGTGTGAAGTTTTTAAAGTGAAGAGTAAACAATTAAGGAAGATTCTAGATCTACTGGAAAATAGTTTTCCTGCTTTTCTTCTTGATCAACAACCGAACACCTGATCTGAGTTCTTTAAGTCCCTGCCCTTCTTCTCCTCCCTCCTCGGCTCTCTGACCTACTCTTCGCGGTTCCTCCAACCTCAAACACAACCACCTTCTCCTTCAGCGGAGAAATCCAGTTCAGCTGATCCTTCCTATCAAGTTAATGCAACCAGATCCTGCTCACCACACCTATGCATTTTAGTGGGCTATGCACTGTTTTCTCTAAAGTTAGAACCATATTTTCTCCCTCATAATCTAAGCTCTGAAAAGCTTTTCAAACATCTACTTTTAGCCAGACAGGTAACACCCAGCGGCAAAAATACCAAACCAAACCCAGCTTAAGAAGAGCAGGTGCAGGACTAGGCTAGGCTAGCCCTCTTAAATCGTTCCTTATCCTAATTTCACTCATCGATGCATTCCCCTCTCCTTCATAAACCAAAGCAGATCTTTTCAGGCTATTAAGCACCAATGCACAGCTTGAGCACCCAGAGGGGTCCACAACACTGATCCACTCTCTCCTGTGACCAGCACGTCCCCTCTCCACACGTGCTATCATTCAACTCCTATTAGGGCCCCCGTTAGTAAGCATCAGACAGGCCGAGGTGAGCGCACATTCTGCACGATCACAACATATGACATGACAGACAAGCGCTGGGGACTGAGTGGCCCTGCATTTAAAAATGGCTGCAAACAGCTTGGCAGTGATAAATAAACCAGTGAAGGTGGTGGCGGTTTTGAGGCTGCACAGCACACTCTTTAGCACTCACTGATCAAACAGGAGGGGCCTTGGCGCCTGGGTTAAAACGTCCAATCAGACACGGTGATCAAATCTTCAGTCACAGCCCGCAGGGGGGGAAAAAAAAAAGCATATTTATAATCAATGTCTTTATTCTCAAAAGAGAGTCATTTCAAAATGTAACAAAGATGGCGACAACAATACTGCTACACAGTCAAAAGGTCACAGCATGCGTCTGCCTTGAGTGCACAAGGTTGCAACGACAAACATTTTTGGCGGTGCGGCGCAATCCCGAGGCCCCTCGGTGGAGACCACAGATCGCCGCAGCTCTGCCGTCAAGTACAGTAAGCAAAGAGGGACACACACCATGGGATCCCTTCGCCATAGCTCTCCTACACTTTGTCCCACGATAAGCTTCACATCCTTTTCAAACGGTCCGAGTCCATTCAGATGGAAAGCCCGACAATTTTCAGCCCACGTGGGTGACTGAATGTTAAGTTAAAAAAAAAAAAAAAAAGGCAGTGGAGATGGGGCAGTACAGGAAGGAGGCTGGGCTGTACTGACAGATCGGGCCAATGAGCGAGTTCATCACCCCTCCAGCCTGGCTGCCTTTCCTGCACCATTTTATTATTTCACGCAACTAATTTATTTAACAGCGCTCAGCAAGTCACAGCCAAAGCTACAGTTTCTGCCAGTCAAAAGGCGCAGCTGCAGAAGATTCCATACACATGTGCATAAAACCTTACACACATACCTTAAAACAAAAGCTGAAAAACAAAAACACCCAACCAACCACCAGCTTTTGCCAGGACAGTCAGCCTGAAAGCTTGAAACGCCTTAGCACGTAAAACCTGCAACGACTGTATCGCCGTTTTACTGTTTCTGTTTATAGTCTTCTAAATGCTAAGCTCATAGCAAAAAGTAAAGGAATCTAAAAAGAAAAAATAGCATAGCACAACTTAAATACATTGCTGTTATATGGAGGGATGGGAATACCTAAATGATTTTACTGCCAATTAATATTAAGTTATGTAACAGACTAAGCTAAAATGAACTAATGCCAGAAACACAACAGATATATTGCATGACAAGTTGAACCACAATGAGTATACAAGTTGCATATTTTGACTTTTGAAGAATCGCCAACAGAAATCGGCATCCGTTCAGTCAACTCTGCATGTGTGTCTAGTACTTAATGTCAGCTAGTGAACCCTGCAGCACTGTGACTGGCTGTATAATGATTCCCATCCCAAGGTATAAACACAGTGCAGTAGCAGCAGGCTTAAACATTCAACAGAGGAAGCTCCAAAGCTAAAATCCTGCAGAGAAAGTTTCAAGGATATCAACCAACCAGAAGAGGAGATTATTCACACCATCACACATCCTGAAGTCGGCATACTCTCTGAGCGGCACACTGAGGAAAAAAAAAAAGCTTGTTTAAGGTAAAACCTAATCCACAGCCCAACTGTCTCAGGATAACCAAACCTGTGTCCAGACCACAGATTTCAAAGCTCAATGGCTGCAGAATCACTCAAGTCTCTATTATTTCATCTGAACCACCTCAAGTCACTAAAGCACTGAGACCATACTACAGCTTATACAGTACAAGAATGCTGGTAGATGCTCGTGCATCTCACCTAAATCATGAGCTTATCACCATCTCGCTTTGCTTGCTAATACATAACACGAGTCAGCAATGGTGCATAAGAGAATGAGCTTTCTCTGCATGTAGGAAATTAATGGACATCTGGAGACTACTTTGTTGAGTTGATCGTTTGTATGCAAGGAAAAAGAAGAAGTGAAACAAAACCAAACTCTAAGGTTAGACCAACTTATATGTTAAACACAACACCTGTTTTACAGGTCAACTGCCAGCCTCTATGTCCACATCACATGGGGGAGGCCGTGGATCCTCTCTGAGAAGTAGTATTTGGACTATTTGCAGGGCGGGAAGCTCTTTGCTCATTCTGGTAGCTGGCGGACCCCAAAATTCAACAGCTACTTCCACTGCTTCCACCAGGCAAACTGCTTCCTACAATTACAAAACAAACTAACTCTGGCTGTGACTGGTAGAGCACAGAGCCTTATCAGCCACAGCCAACAAGTACAAGCACTTTGCTGGTATTCATTTTCCAAAGTAAGGAGACTAAAATAAAGGCCGGGGTCTTAAAAAAAAATAAAAAAGAAAACTTCAAGAGGGAGATTCAGTTTTAAGCTAGAGTGGAGAACAGCTGTCTGATTTGTCTGTGTACTTGCATACTGTAATTGCATTGATGTAAATGTGCAAGTCTTAAATGAAAAGACCGTATTCGTTATTTAGCACCTGGTAGAGGACACTTGTGCCTCTTCCCTGTAGAATGATACTGCAAAATGTGTATCTAATTTCTATTCAATGTGGTGACTAAAAAGAAGGCTAAATATACTTCAGAATGTCAACACTCTTAAATACTAACAAAAATGGCAGCAAATCTTTATGTGTACCCCAGTATTGCTCGCCTTTGAGCACGTGTAGACGGTTTAATTCATAGTTTTATTATCTCCTGATCGTGTGGTAGCTGCATTTGACTTTTCACTGTAATTCTCAGATTCAGTTGCTCACAAATTTCAATCACAGTAAATGTCAAGTGCCATTGTCAACAAAATCCAGCCAACCAATTACCAAGAACTACAGGAAACATTGGCAGAAGTTGGTGCAAAAGCAGCATTGAGGTGTGGTTTGGCCCTGGGCTCCAAAAGGTTCAATGGTGAAGGTTTAATGGTTGTCACATGGGAATCCAGTCCAATGTTGATTCAACAGCTAAAAATAGAGCTTTATAATTTGTTTGGTGGAGCCACATCTTTGACGTTCTCAAGTGTGAACAGGCCTTTGTTTTCACATGACTCCATTTTTTCTATTATTTACATCTACTGTACAAAAGGTTGCAAGCACCGAGCCCACACACAGTGAATAAAGTTTTGAAAGAGTAGGTAGTAGGTGTAGGATTTCCATTACATATAATCACAAGTTAATTCCAGGAGAAACATGACATACACGAGGATCTTTGTAAACATGGGGGCATCTTCACCGATCTCCATCCTCAACACGAGATCTATAACGAGCTGTGGGCTGCAAAATTATGCCAATGGACAAATTATGCAAATCTCAGCTGCTGCTTTTGTATTGCACAAACCCTGCTTTAACAGAGAGTATGGGTGCAGCACAGCATGCCTCTCAAACTACAATAACTGCTGGGTAATTTACTGAAGAGTCTCCCTGAGCTGCAGGCCACTCAGTTTAGACAGACCGTTCAGTTACATGCAGAACTGCTCAGGGAGAAATTCAAATCTTCCTCTTTTGTGTTCAACACACAATCGATTAAAAAAATATTTTTGCCTTTAAAAAAACCAAAAAAAAAACCCCCAAAAAACCCGTAACAAATGGAGATGTTCAACTGTGCTGCGTGTCAAGACAGTAACGGTAATATAGTCAGTATATTTGAGGTTAGCATCCAATCCAACATCCAATCTGATTATTATTTGTTCAGGACGTGACTGAATTTTTATAACAAATCACCACATGGGATTTGAAAATAACACAACAATAAGAAAATCCTACACTTAGTACCTTCAAGTTCATCTTAGATGTCTGAGATGGTCATTTCTAGGAAACAGAAACATTTACACAGTTACAATTCACAAAAGTGCATAAAAATGACCACCAGCAAGAGGAGCCGTTAAATGAATGGGAAGTTAAATGAATACTCTTTTTTTTTTTTTGCATGAAGCTGTACTTCCTGTGAGCCTCAAGCTGTTTAAACCATCTGCCAAAGTAGAGAAAAGGATAAAATAAAACTTAAAAAGAAAAGAAAAAGAAAATAAATTCAAGTCATTCTTCTTACAAAGCCCACTGTGCGCACCAGGGCGGGGAGGACCATGTTTGGCTGTTCAAAGTCCTCCCAGCCCCCTTTTTCCTGGATTTCAAAGCCTTGGAAAAAGCTCTCATTTCATGAGTACAGTACTTCAAAATAGAAACTTAAACAAGTTTCAGCATGAACAAAAAGCATTAAACATTTCAATTTTTACAAGATTGGATGAGCTCGTTGGGAGGGTGTTTCTGCCTGTCCATTACAGGGCACCTCCTGACAAAAAAACAAAAAAAAAAAAACTTTTGATGATGGACAGTTGATTGAAATGCTATGCACCTGATTTCAAGCTCAAATCAAACATGAATAACTAACCGGCTAGTGATGGATATAATATGCAGAGGTGCAACTGGCAGTAACCCAAGTAAAAACAGGGGAGGTACACCAGTTACACAGAAGCAAAAACCCACTGTGAGTTGAAGATGGGAAAACGGAAGGCTAACTTAAAATTAAGACATTTACTGTATATATAAGATAAAAAGGGCATGTATTCCTTGAGTCATAACCCCTATGGAGGAAAACTGGATATGGGAAAACAAGTGAAAATCTGTGTGTCTCAGTATTAGGAAACTTATTTTCACAGCCATATTATCTGTGTATTAGTTACATCATAGGTCAATCCATGGTTGCAATTTAAGGTATCTGCATGCGTGTGTGTGTAGACAATTAGCCAGGGTGAATGTGTGTTTTTGTGTGTCCACCAGCAGGTGCTGCAGTTAAGTGAGGAAGAACAAGAAGAGCCAATGACCCAACAGAGGGGTCGTGTTGGTAATCCTGGTGTGCACTGGATCCTGACCGGAACAAAGCTGGCTCCTCCTCTAGGTGAGCTGGTGAGGCGCCTCTAGCATCTCCATCAGGAAGGTGTCAATGGGCGTATCACCAATCAGTTTAAAGAAGAACAAGTGCTCCAGGCACTTCAGACCGATGGAGCGCAGTGCCGGGAGCCGGAGGAGGAGCTTTGCAAACCTGTATAACAGAAGGAACGATGAGGGACAGAAATGGCCACTGACCTGGTAATGTCTTAAAATCAATTAAAATGCACGAAAAATTGTGAATAATTTTTCAGATTACAGAAAGAAAGCATCCTGGATAATCTGTTAATATAATGTATTTAAGCAGAACTAACAGTTTGTGAAAACACGAGTTGGAATACATAAAATATCTGTCCATAATCACGATGTCTAACAGTGTACAGCTCAAGTTATGCTTATAGTACACAGAATCTGCCCCCACTCGTGCATTGAGTTTCAAGTGACAAGATATCAGCAATACGACTACTTTATGCCAATCCGAGTTATCTCATACAACTAAACAAAAAAAAAAGAATTATAAATTGCTGTTTCATTTTAACAAAGCCAGTGGATTTAAGCAGAGCCCACAGTGACTTCACCTCTCGTCTGTAGTCACATGTGCAATATCTTACCTTCCCTGCTGATCGGGATATTTCTGTTTGCAGTAAGACTCCAGAGATGCGTACACCCTCTCTCTTAGGAGCTCCACCTCACTGGAGTTGGACAAACCCTTAGCATCTTCAGGTAAAAACAGGATATTTTCATTACTTCAACAGTTTAAAATTTCTTCACTTTTCCAGACATTAATGAGTCTGTTTAATTTTAGTTTTCCCAATGACACTTTCACATGATTTTCAACATTGCACCTGCCCATGTACCTGGATTGAAGAGAATGATTGCTCGAAGGCAGCCCAGCTCTGTCTTGTCCATTTGCATGTCTCTCATTTTACTAACAAGCTCTGTCAAAACCCTGAAGAGAGGACAAGAGATATGCAAAGAGAGAAGTCCCAAATGGAGACAGTAGGAAAAGGCCGGAAGAGAGAAGGGGAGAAAAAAGAAAGGATTGTGCCAGTGAAGAATAAAAAAGAGGGGGAATCGATAAAAATAGGAGAAAATACATGAGAAAAAGACAATATTAAGTGAAACAGAGAGACCAGATGGCAAAACCACTGCTATTTATGGTTACTTATTAATATAATGACTGTAAGTTAGGCCATGGCTGAACACTGCTGGTTCTGCAGCTGCACCGGTGACTGAATCTGTCCTGTCATGAAAATGGCTGGCAAATGTCAAAATCTACAATGACTGGAGATAAAAATGTTTTTAGTAATTTCTTGTTTAGTTTAAAACTTTAATTTGTGTCTTTCCCTCAACTGCTCATGGAGCAGAGACACTCGGGTCAGAAAAATATTTTTCATTTACCAAACACAGACACATAATTTGGACCAAAGCTTTTGAGAATAAACCCAAAATGTATTGAGTGAAGGGAACATATCCTGTTGTTGTCTCTGTTAAACAGTTTTTTTTTCTTTTTTAACTCTTCATTTCAAGTACAAAGCTGTGGCTGTGGGGACAGCAGACCCACCCATCTGCTGTTAAAGCCTCCTGCTTGAAAGGCACAACCAGTGAGAGGAGGTAAAACGGCTCGTTTCAGGCAGTGGATGGACTGAGGAGCTGCACAGAGGCCGAGGTGGAAATAATCTCCTGTAATTCCTAACAGTAATCCTTTTAACATAATTTAAGGTTTAAAAAAAAAAAAAAAACTACTTTCCTGGACTATCACCAGCATTTTGATGAAATGCTCACTTTTAAAATCATTTCTTAAAATTAAAAGTAGAATGGCTATTTTTAATTTTTCACAACTGCATGAATAAATGCAAACAACTAACAAAAACACCGCCTAAACATGAAAATGTCACAATAACAACATTTTCAAACATTTCATTCAATGCATTTATCAATCTTTAGTAGATGTTGCGTTTTGCAATCTAAACTATTAAGCGTTTCCCCTCCAGGCAAACGAACTGAGTGAAAGAGGAATGGGATACAATTATAGAGTAAGAGGGAGAAGTGATGACTGTTAGAGACTGCTTATTTGCTTCTCCATCATCCTTGATCAGAAACGAACATCTGTTTTTAATGACAGGGTTGTTTTTGTTAAACAGACACCACCTTAACCAACATTACGATGCACTGCCAAATCAATTGTTTTATGCACGGCAGCGCTCTGGATAAATGCCTCCCCCCCCCCACCCCTTTTTTTTTTACTTGAGAAAGTGGAGGAAATGAGGAGTAATTTATGGGGTACACCCAGAGTACGTGTCATTATTTTTATACTACGGGTATTTCCCATCTGATGACAGCCAACAACACCTCCACTCTAAATTAGGGGCTCTAAACTTTAACCGAGGACTTCAGTAATACAGTATTTGTTGTTCACAAAGGCAGTCCACACATTTAGTTTCACTCTGCAGTCGTCTAACCTAAATATACTTTAAGTTCTAAGAAAATGAAGTGCCAAAGTGCAAAACATTCAGTGACAGGATGCATTCAAAGCCACAAACAACACATGGTGTCTGACAGTACGCCGATCATTTACAATTTTAGTAGGTGATGTTCAGACTTGTATCCTGTTGTAAGAACCTGGCTTGCAGCTGTAAGGCTGCAGGAAAGTCTGACAGCATCAACGTTTCCACGTCGTTTGTTTGTTTGTTTTAAGGTAGACTTAAAGAGGAGGGGTTCAAGGAAAGTGTTTGTGTAGTGGGGTAATTACCTGTCAAATATGGCCCCAACCTCGGCATTGTGCGCCCTGTGTATTCAATCACAATGTGTTATTACAATGTCATTACACAGTTACAGTACAGTACTTTCTGTTCTGAGCCCTTCAGCTGTACAGGTAGTGCACAGGTAGTCCACGCTTACATGTGATGTGACATGGTTGTATTAAATGCGATGTCTGGTTTAAGGTTTGCTTTATTTGAAAATTTATTGGGCATGTACTGTTACATGTTGCAAAATGTGGACCTCTGGTAGAAATTTGATGTGCTTTATTACATTATAGTGTGTATATAGTATTCAATGATTTGCACATGTATTAAAACAAGCACAGGCTGTAACAGATTTTATGAGCCAAATGCAGGACAGCAGAAAAACATCTTACAGAAAGGGCCCTTCAACGTTTAAATGATTTTTCTAGCTAAATGTTAACAGATCTGCAAAGTAACCTGAGTAAATGTCACTGAACTGTGTCTGTTGGATGAAGAACAGAGGCTTGACGAGCAGAATACAACATTTAGGACAACAAATTAACCACATACAAAAAAGGAAAATAAAACATCGGTAAACAGAAAACACATTTAAAACAGCACAAACACAACAACAAAGTAAAGCAGAGATGCTTTCTACCTTTGTCATCGATTTATTTTCACATAAATGTGGAGCGTATGTAGGCAAAAGGTCACTGTGTGCTTCTTTTCTGTGTGTGTGCTCATTGCGTCATCTTTCCTCTTGGCCATCTAGTCAGTAGCAGCATAATAATATACTAAATTTAACTGTTCAGTAGCTTCTTTGAATGAGGTCAGCAATGACCATAATTTAGTATTCAACTGAATGAAACACTGCTAGGCAAGGACTGAGTCTGCTTGTTCTAGGAAAGGGTCATTGACCAGGGAAGCAAACAGGAAAGGATGTGCAATAATCAATTTACTTTCTGCCTGTCCAAACTCAAAAGAAAGATGGTACCTTTCAAAATAAGACACCAGAGTCATGGTACTATTAAGACTTACATCTTTTAAACCTACATCGTATTAATCTGGACCTGCTCAGCTTTTGTGTTTGCTGAAATTTGTCCGTTAGTTCGTGTAGTTAAATGATGTGTTTTTCAGTCTGAGTTTTGTGTGGAGTTTCTTTCTTTTCTTTTTTTTTTTAAAGAGCTTGTGGTATTTTGCACTTCAGGGCCATTAAAGCAAAACGTCTACAGCGAGTAATGTGTTACAAAGAAATATCCACATCCTCTTTCATAAAATATGGTTCAGTAGACTCAAACAGATGCTGATGCCAAGCGGAAACAGAAGCCTGCTGCTAGTAGAGAGCAGTGCTATGAGGAAATGACCTTTGAGCCATTTGCAACAAGCCCAGCATGATTTGAACTAAAACTGGATTTGAAGCCAGGATTAACCATTTGTAGCAAATTAGTAATCTATTAATGTGCAACTACTGTGAATTAAAACACTGTGATCAAGCCAAAACTTTAGATAAGATTAACCAAGAGCTGCAATACGCGTACTGTTTTTTAAAATCAAGGCAAAAACCGTCTGACATCCCATCATGACGTAAAACAGTTTATTTCACCTTACCTAAGTATTAAATGATGGAAGCTGAAATAATGCAGAAGACTAGAGAGGCCACGTATGTAGTAATGAATAGTTTTGGCCACAATTATGTGAGTAAATTGAAAAGTTTCTAATGCATCAACTGCAAACAAACAGTGCACCATTTTGTTCTGGGTCCTCGTCCAGCAAACCTCTCGGCTATGAGGGGAAAACCCCCGCTCAGCGCAGCCACACATGCCTGGGGTGCGACTTGGCGGTCAGTCGGGGAAATATACCTCCTTCATGAAGCTGGCAACTCTTCAATCTTTGGCCTGCGGTCATAAACGCTACGTGGATCGTGATCTGATGGTTTCTTGTAGACACACTGGAGTTTGCACCAGAACTTTAATCATTTATAAATGTGCCAGAAGTGTCCGTTTGTATATCTGCATCCATATTAAAGCACGATAATTCAAAGAACATAAAGTTTGACATCTTTAACTTATAATTAAATCTGTTTATGCGTGTTAAGCCAGTCGTACTGAAATTGTGTGTGTGCGTGGGGGGGGATAATAAAAAGGGAAGATTTAACACCTTTAACATACTTACGGCCTCTAAAACATTCTGCACAGTAATTAAATTATAGTCACATATTTTTAAAGACATTTCCATTTCATATTTGCACATAAGATTGTACATTTGCCAGCCATTACCACATTACCAGATTATACAATGAGTGATATGCCACTGAGTGTGCAGGAGTTTGCATGCATGCCTACTGCTAAGTATTAGTCACCAGCCTCCCTGGCATGCGCTGTGATCCTACAGGCAGCACTACAGAAGCAAAGTCTCTCAGCCAATTACAGCCAATGCAGAACACAGCAGCTGCAGCCAGCCAAAGATGAACACTGTAACCTCGATTCTTGTTCACTATCCAGAGAAACCAAAAGGGATTTCATTTTGGCTTTCCAGGATCCGCTTATTTTACTATGTAGTACATGATTTTATACTGCATACATGTAGACGTAGTACACTTGAGATTCAAAGTAGAACGGCTTCTGAAAATGCACTTATATAACAAAGCTAAAACCCTCTAGTGAACACAATGTTTTGGTTTCATGCCTTCTTCTCCTTAAAGCTGCAGAGAGTCCCAAATGTTGTTTGTGCGTCAGAGTTGCACCGTTTGTGTTTCCATACATTGTGGCATTACCTGTCAAAGATAGCTCCAACACCTGCACTGTGGGCACTGTTCCTGTGGACATGCAGGCCTGTGGCAAGTAAAATCCCGTCCTTCACCGAGATGGAGCGATGGGAGAACGATGCAATCAGGAGCTCATTCCAGCCTGTTGAAAAGTTGGTGTCTCAGTATCTTTAATGAGGTTTTATTTCATGTTTAAAAAACAAATACATTAAACTTTATTTATTAATAAATGTTTATAAAACCTTTCATTTCATCTTGTAAGCAAGTTTTTTTTTTTAACCACACGATTGCCTTCATTTGAACTTGGTCGAGTTTAATCTTTGGTTGCATCTAAAAATGGCAGGAAACTAAATAATTTCTTGATCATTTAAATATATATTAAAAAAAATGTAAATAAAATTCAGCAACTACTGGTGCAGTGGCTAATACTTGAGACAGATCCCCAGTTCAAGACTAAGACACACAAACCCAGCCTCAGTGGGTCACAAGCTACTGGCTCCTGCAAAGCCCAGAAAAATGGGAGAGATCAGGCAGAACACTCATCATTAAATGTGTGCAAAATCAAAGACACGGATCCATTCAATGTGACAACACGTCAGAAACAAGAGATTACCCAAATTTACTTCACAAAGCACAAAAAGCAGAAAATGTCAAATACCCTTGCAAAAATAGTGTGCAAGTTTATGCTTAGCTTTTCTTGGCTGTAGTGGCTGCTGTTGTAATAACTGCATCAAATATACTGCTCAATAAATAAATAAGTAAATAAATATGGGAACACTTAAATGAAACATGATTGATGAAATAATTATTCAAGTTGAAAATCTTTACTGACACAGTGTGCAATTTATTTACAAGACGTAACAATGGATCTTGAAAACCAAAATAATGAAATCAAAATAACATCAAAGAGTTAAACTTAACATTGTTAAATTGTTTCCTGAATTTCTTTAATAAGCAAAAGTGATGTTTGCATCCTTCTTTGATGCACACGTGAGGCTAAAAGCTCACTGGAAGTTTTAAGATCGGGTTACAGCAGAATATTAATCCTGAGAACTAAAGATTATGTAAGATTAAAATGTTTACATTTTGATGGATAGACCATATGGTGTACTTTATATCAATCCATGCATGGTGAAGATCAAACTGTAATGCCATTGTTACAAAGAACCACAAAAAAAATGTTCATTGTTTGCAACAACCGCCCTGTTATTTGTGCACTTTTAAAACTGTTGGAGTATATCATGATAGTTTTAACTAAGAGTAAAACCAGTAGAATCTCATCTGAGTCATTAAACCGGATCAAATCAGTCTGACTTACCTGCACGTAGCAAGATGACCTGGTCATCCAGGGGCAGCTCTGAGAAATGAGGGATCCTCTTGGCCCACTCCACCAGCGTGAAGAGCTGCTTGTCTGCTGCTTGGCAGATGTTGGTGACTGGATCGTTGGGCTGAAATAAGCAGATTTATAGTATTAGTGGTAGTGATTTCATTGCAGCTTTAATGCATTACTATGTGCCTGTGAATAATATTAAAACTAATCTGACGTCTAACAGTAACTGTATCACGCAAAGCTCAAGAAACACAAACGTGTAACTGCTATACAGTTTGTTTAAACTCAGACTTCCTTTGATAATTATTTCTATAGTTAAAAACATCTAAAGGGTTTATTTCCACCCCCAGGCTACTCACAGAGCTGCCGCCTGAACTTCCATCTGCATGCAGCTCTGTCTTCTGCTCTACAGCCATCTCTGCTTCCAAAATCTTCTCTACTGGCATCTCCTCGTTGACTGCACTGGTCGACTCCACGTCACCATCTCTATCCTTGTTCCTCTGCCGCTCCTCTTGGACAGCTGCAGGACAAGGGAGAGAGGAACACAGGGGAAAACAATAAAAGGCAAGAAGGTTGGAAGGGAGGAAAAAGTAGGAAGAGCAGAAAGGAGAAAAAAATGTGGGTGGGTAAAATGAGTGAATGTATGTTATTATGAGAGGAGGAAAAGTACACAAGCAGAGGAATGGCCGAGAAAGCAAATGAATTGGGTAGGCAGGCAAATGTGGAGAACAAGAATAAACAAAGAATGAGCCAAGGTAAATAAAGTGAGAGATGCAGAAAAGGAGATTAACAGATAATGTGTGAACAATGAGGGACAAAGATTGGTGTAGGAAGAGGTGAGCATACAAAAGGAAAGAAGCAGAAAGATTCAAATGAATTTTGAAATATGAAAAGAAACAAACAGCAGGGAGAGAGAGGCACATGTATACACAGTTCATAAAAAGTCTCTCATACTGTCTTTCATACTTCTTTCAGGTCCACAACTAAGGCAGAAATAGACCAATTAAGACATACCACATAAATTATTAACAAACCATTTTATAGACAATAAGGAAGAAATTACAGTGAAATCAAACTCAGAGTGTAAGCGCTTTTTCCTAGATTGAATTCCAATTCCAGGCAATTAACAGTTAATGGCTGGAACAAAGTTTTTGGAACTATTAAATCCCTGCTGTAATAAAACTAGGTTTCTATTTTCATAAAGTTCAAGCAATCTAGTTATTGCAGACAGCACCCATGTAAATGCAATCAATATAAATGCATGAACTCTACTTTCCCTTTTCATGAGGTATTAAAAAGCTGTGTTTAATAAAAATATGGTTTTATATTCACTTTAGATGACCTATTTCTGTGGGAGTTTTTTAATATACACAGTAACCAGATTTTTAAAAAAGAAATAAATGCACAATTACGTTGAAATAATCAAATTCATAGTCCGTTACAAATGATTTGCAGTCAAATGTTTTGACAGTCTGATATCCTACAGACATCAGCAGATGCAGATTATGTGACTTGGCCGCTTTGGTTTGTTTAAAGTACCAGATTTATGCCATTGACCTAAATTTTGTAATATGATTTTTTTTAAATAAAGCCTGTTTCATAAGTGTACAAGCTGACAACCTGTTGCTGTTGTGGCAGTCCTAAAGCCATTCAGCTGCCACTCCAGTGATTCTCATGTCCACCATCCTGGACTAAAGCTGGCGACAGTAGTTCTGGTTCTGCTTGCTGGGAGATCTGCAGTGAGCTGGAAGGCTACTGAAACCAGAAACCGCAGCAGGTGGAGGACTGGTTATCTGCCACTACGGCTAGCCCACTAAGGCGGCAGAGCAGAACAGAACCGGGACTACCAGTGCCAGCTCCAGTATGAGACAGTGAAGATGGCGTCTGTCTGCAGTGCAAGACAACAGCTGGTTGGCTAATTAAAAGAATCTGGATGCGTATCCCCACAGTATTCTTACTACGGTACTACCAAGCATCAGTTTATTCTTAAATAAATGTTTCCACACGGTTGAGGACCTCTTCTGTAAGTGTGACTCTACTGGGCTGCACCTGGTTAAGAGCAAAGAATAGGTAACTTAAACTAGTGTAATGATGACTGAACGAGTGGGCATACTCAGCAAACTTTCCCTGTAACCATGAAGGTTAAAAACACATGGGGAAGTAATTCAAGGCTGGCACTGGTCCTCCTCTCAGCACTGGCAAGAAACAGTGGAAAAATATTTTAAACTAGCTGCTCCTAATTGATAGGCAATGTAATATCTCTGCTTCCTGCTCACTCATACAGGCACAGACACACACCCCTCCCTCCCTCTTCTCCTTACATCTGTCGTTCATCTTGGCCACTACAGAAGGAGGGTGGGGGAGAGAGATCGAGAGGAAACAAAAAGAGGAAGAGAGGGGGAAAGGGGTTAGTGTTTACAAGGCTTACCCACCCCCATCTCCCTCTCTACCACTCTTTACTCGCTCTTTCTATCCTCCATCGTACACATATTAAAGCCTTTTCAGTCATGGAATATGTAGCATTGCTGCTTTATCAAGCTCATCAATTAGATTTGGATGATTTGTGACATTTAACAGGCAAGAATAGAAAGCAGAGGAAGTTGCATATAATTTAAGAGATCATTACAGTCCCTTTAAGATACAAGTCTTTTCCATAATCAGCACGATTTGAGATTAGCTCTCTAATGTGAGTGTCAGGCAGAGATTAAGATTACACTCCCTTGCAGAAGTACATGCAGACAGCTGCAGACAGAGGAAGAGTAGTTCCTTCTATTATATTACTTTGTAGCAAGCGTGGAGCACTTTTGAAGAATACAAAGTAGATGTGTGGACAAATCTGCCTGCCCACAGCAAATTAGAAGGAGCGCTGACAGCTACACAAAGCTTTGCGTATAACTTCTAATGTAGAAATTTGTGTCACGTGGACAATCATGCTGCAGCAGATAGGAATACAACATTTCCAGCAGCTTTACTCAAATTTGCAGCAACCGAATGATGCCTGGAATCACATGGAAGCCTGTTAAGAATAATTTATTTTGTTGTTATGACTGCTGAGGAAAATATACAATAAAGATATCTCATATGAATTGGTTCTGATTTTTTGCATGCCTTCCATTTTGATTGCTCTGATTGGACAGATCTAGTGGGGTTGCCATCGTGTCTGTTACTGTTAACTGACCTGCGTTCTTATACAGGCACGAGACCAATTTGTTAAACCGTCATCAGATTAAGACAGAAGTGTGTTTTTAAATAGTTTTTACACATGTATTGCAGCCCTCAGCTTCTCTATATTGTTATTTCACAGCACAAACCACAAACACAGTGAGCGTGACTCACTGTCGTTAGCTTGCCACTTCCCTTGTAAAAAGGTGGACTGTGGTGATGTGCAAATAACTCCGGTACATAGTCCAGAAGATTTACCTCTACTGAAATGATGTCATTAGTGCTGCCTACTGAACACACTAAGCAGCTTTCTCATCCTAAACCACATGGAGTAGTGCTAACGTGTGAAAACAGCTTTAATTAAAGGAAGAATATTTGAAAGCAGATGTGTTTAATTTTATTTTTATGGTATATCATCTCTCGGCTGGCCTGGGAACACCGTGGTGTTCCCTCGGATAAGCTGGAGGAGGTGGCTGGGGAAAGGGAGGTCTGGGCCTCTCTGCTTAGGCCGCGACCCGGCCTCGGATAAAGCGGATGAAGATGGATGGATGGTATATCATAGCTCTTAAAATGTTGGGTAAAGTTAAAAAATTAGGCTCAGAGTTAGGCTGCAGAAACTGCAGATTACGCAGACATTAGGTCCCACAGAAAGCATGCTGCCTCGAATATTCCTAAATCTGTGCCGTCTTAATACTCCACAACCACAGTGACAATATCAGCAACAACAGTGGTGACATACCTTACATTTAACTTGCATTAAGTCATTATCAATGTTCATAAAATTTGCATTGTACAACGCCAAGGAATTCAGTGCTAATCTAATAATAGGACACGAGAAAGCACAGGGTGCAATATGGTTTGCTTACTTACACTGCTCAACTCTAAGGCGCTTAGCAGCAGATAATCTCAGATGGGCCGGCTTGAAATGGATATAACGTAACTTTCAGTGTTAAGACACTTGTACAAGGCAAGATACAGATTAGTAGATGTTTGTAAAGGTTTCTTAAGGACAGCAGTGAGAATTCTGAATGGCGTTTGATGTTTCGTGCTAATTGCCATGTCATCCATTTTAACATTGTTACTGTTTAATAACTGTTAACAAGGCATGAAGTCTGAGGTAGTGTTCAGGCTGTGTCAGACTGAACTACAATGCACACAAAAACACAGCAGAGCAACCACAATGGAAGAAATGCGCACTTTGCACACAAAATCTGGCAGAGCACCAGTTTTGAGCAGGGTTGTACCGAGATGTGAGCTTATTTATTTGTATTTCAGAAAAATGTTTATTTCCTCTTTTCACTTCTTTGTTTTCACTCTCCGTTCCTTCACTCGTGCTTCGGCTCACTGAAGCTGCTCTCCATTTCTCTCTCTCACCCTTTGAATGGGGACATTAGGGGCCAAGATTCAATGCTGTGTTTACAAACAGTAACCAAAGATTTCTGTGGCATACTTTAAAGTAACCAAACTGATTTTTACAAACTATTGCGCAGTGTGACTGTGAGAGGCTGGCTCAATTGCTTCATGTTGGCTACTCCACCAGTCAGAAATGATCACTGCTGCAAACCCCACCCATTACATTTTCACAAGTACAAGGCAGGGACTTTTTTGGAAGTTTAAAATGGAACTTAATTTAGATGCTGGTTCCTGCAGCAAAGGCACCAAGGCCGAAACACAACACTGGGCCAATTGAAAGCGCCTTTGAGGACATTACTCTTGGCCTTTTGTTATACAAGAATAGATTGCAAAGCTAAATCAGCAACACTCTTGTCCAACTATTAACAGTAATAAAACCTTTTAAACCTTTAAAAAAAAAAAAAAAAATTGGTGATTTTATAATGGATTTTAGGACACTGCAAGTTGTAAAGGATGCAGAAAGTATGTTGTGTGTGAATATTTGGCTCTTTCTGTATTTAACCTAAACTTGTTTGGATAAACAAGAATAACACAGAGAAGATTTAGAACAAGCCGATTACAAGGCCTTTTCCTGCCGGCTCACCTTCTCTCTTCATGCCCATGGCCAGGCACTTCTGATAGCGGCAGTACTGGCAGCGATTCCTCTGTCTCTTATCCACAATACAGTCTTTATTGTCCCGACAGGTGTAGGTCAAGTCTTTTCGCACAGTTCTTTTGAAGAAACCTTTGCAGCCCTCACAGCTGTAGACTCCATAATGCTTACCTAAGAGAAAGGGGAATAATTGCTTTTAATCATAGATGAAAATAACTCGGAGGCAACACAAAGAAAGTAGCTGTATTTTAGACGTCTACTCACCAGAGGATCTATCTCCACAGATGGAACAAAGACGTTTCTGGGAAAGCATCGGCCCAGGGCTGTGAGATGACAGCTGTTTCAAGCCCAGTGGAGGTTTCACATCATCGGAGCTGCTCACTGCATGAAGCCCCGACATAGACACTGTTGAGTTGATCTGAGAAAGCAACAGAAAAGATGCAGAATGCAATGACAACCAGGCTTTTTATGATACATTATTCACTATTCCCTTTTCATCTCTGTAAGAATCCAAAGACTGTGTTTAATATTACGATCTAGACTGCACTATAAACTTTAGAGGACACTGAAAATGAAACATGGGCCCTTTGCACCTAATTTTTAACCTACTTACTCTTCTCTCTCTGCCATATGTTTGAAAACAGACAGCTATTAGAATCTTCCATGTAAATAAAAAAAAACAGAAAACAATATAAATGGGCTCATAACAAAGAACAAACATTTCTGATATCAAAGACAAACACTAAAGCAAAAACAGCATTTTTTGAATACTTTGTGTTTAATGTTGAGCATATACAACGTGAAATATTTTGAATGATACTGATTTACAGAGTAAAGTTGGTTTAGCCATCACTTTAGCTGGAGCAAGCTCTAAATCCTACAAAATGACGGATACATCCACATGTACTGACCCATACTAAACAAAGCAAACTGTCACCTGGGGGCTGCTAATTGGGCCGTAACCCACTGACGGTGTGCCAGGTAGGCAGGGAGACCCCAGTGAAGAGCTGATAACAGAAAAGGGGGAACCAATGCTGCTGATGGGGCTATTGACCCCGGCAGTGGTGATGGGAGGAAGGGAGGTCATGGAAGCTGCAGCTGAGGGAACCAGCGGAGGGGAGCGCTGGCCCGAAGGTGGGGAGGACACAGACGAACTGTCTGGGCTGTGGGAATCTGATAAGAGACAGCAAGATGAACAACACAGTAAATTTCATTATTCATAATAACAGTACACAGCAAAAACACCTAAGTCTATGGATGGCTTTCTCTGTGATGTTTCATCAGTTAGATGTGTGTGAAAAGTACGGAAAACAAACTGCATTACGTGAGAGCTTACACTAAGAAAATATAAAACAACTGCTTAACACTTTAGTTCAACAATACCTAAAGTAACTTAAGCCTTTAAGTCATCAGGAGCTCCACAATATTGTCACATGACAAAACTAAAAACATTATTTCTACAAGGGATGTTGCAACGTGGATCAAGCTTTTTTATAAGCTGCTTTACAACCATGCAACCCCATCAGTAATGTCCATCCACCGTTTGCTCTTCCTGTCATATGGAGTGCAAGGATCAGTGCCCCAGCAAAGCTCAGTTGAGTCACTTGTTTACATTTGGGTCACACGTCACCAGCAGGTAGGATCGACTCCTTCACAGCTTGGTTGTAGTCAACAGTTTGTTTTGGCCTCAAGTGGTTTCCACCGTTATCAGGAACAGCTTCCCTGCATAATTTGCAAAGCACTGTGCTTTGTTGGAGCTTGCTGAAGACGCTCCTTTTTTGAGCGGTAAATTATCATTGGATGCAGACACGGGGCTCCTACTCGTACAACAGATGTGCCCAGGCTCATCTCATTTAATTATATCATGATGTCCTCCTGAGACCCAGCCTATTCATTTATGTCCTCTGTAATAGAAATTTGTTTTTGGTCTATATATCTTTGGACTTACTAAAGCTACCCTACTAAGTCCTGATGTGCTCAATTTAGGACATCCTGACCTTTCCAGTGATATCTCGTGTGACTGGGTGGCCTCTTTTAGCTCCATAGAGGCAGGAAATTATAAAAAAAACGTTAAACTGAAAGATACTTTTTTTTCTTTGGTTCTCGGGAGGATATGCCATTTCTATATACGTAAAGATACCTGTGTTATCGGGGATGAGGTGATATAAATTTCTCTTTGCTTTTAACATTGACTTTAGGGCGAAATTAAGTCAAATCGAACTCAGTAGTTATTCCTTACATTTCTAAAGGAAATAAAATGTTTCTTACTACAGCAATTTGCATGAGTTTTAGCAGAAATGTGTGTTTGTTCTATGTTATTGGTGCAATATGTGAAAAATATTAATATTAATATGAATAAATGTACTTCATTTGTCTGAAGACCTTATTAGACTGTGCAATTTCAATCAGATTTATTTAAAAAAAAACAACGACATAAAATATTGTTGGAAATAATATGTAAATTGTGTTCTTCCCCATCATCATTCCTTAAACTAGTCGGTCCCTTCTACAGCTGGCTGTGCTGCATTCTTGCTGCTGTGGGCGATGTACTGACTGCCGTCTGATGTAATCACCCCCCCCCTTTTTTTTTCCCCCCCAGGAACAAAAATCAGGGAATCACGTTGTCTCATAAATCACCTACTGCAGGCCAGGAAGAAAACAGTTATTTCAAAAACAAATCAACAAAGTCAACGAATTGTGCCTTACATTACTCAGATTTGTGTGTGTGTTTAATTTTAAGTGGTGCATACTTTCTCAGCTGTCCATGTATTTCAGGGGAAAATAAATAAATAAATCCCCATCACTGGCACGAGTTGTTATTACTTTCCTGGCTTGGGAATAAAGGTTCAAAGTGCTGATAGTCTGAAACGTTTTGGATCGAGGTTAATGAAAAACAGAATCAAAGAGTGAAGAGTGCCTTCTTTTTAGCACAGTAACAACTTTATGATTGCCTCACAGTGAATTATATACACAATTTATTTTTTAGCTTTGACATGTTTTTACATTCCTACATTAGAACCGGCACTGATTCAATCAAATGGGAGATTTTATTTTTAACAGTAAAACAATTATTAAAACCTACTTACTTTTAGAAGAATGGCAGATGATATGTTGGACACCACACACTGATTTATTTAAAAAAAAACAAAAAAAACAACAACTTCTACCTGGTCAGCTGTGTCAGATGTAACACATAAATGGTAAACGGCTGTATTTATATAGCGCTTTACTAGTCCCCGAGGACCCCAAAGCGCTTCACACATCCAGTCACCCACCCATACACACACACACACACATTCACACACACATCTGCTTAAGCTTTAGCACTGTGATGTTTAAGCAAGTCTTGTTTTAGTTTCTGTTCCTTCATACCACATATCTTTCATAGCAACGATTTTACAACAGATAATAATGTAACATTGATCTATTATTAACACTAGTTTCCAGATGCAAGTCATCTAGACAATAATCCTGTCTGCAGTGCTGAAAGATTAATCTTTGCACATTAGTTCTTCCTTTTGCTTACCTCTGCTGTCTCCCATGATGGTGGTTGGGGCACAGGGGCTGACTGACAGCTACAAGCCGACGTGCTTCCGTCTCTAACAGCCCGATATCAAACTCTAGACCGCGGACTGAGGCCCGGGCCGGAGTTTTTTTGGGAACCCAAAAACGGCTCTGAAATTCCAACAGAAGAAAGAGCACCGTATAAAACAGGAGTGTGACACAGAGGGTCCATTTGGGCATAAAGATGCAAAACAAAACTATCGTGGCTCCTATCTTTACACGGCTGTGAATTCTACCTGTGCTTAGCATTAGAAATATTTGCGTATTTGATGCATTTTTGGTGATTTTACGTAACGTTACAGCTGGACGTTTTAAAGCAGCCAGCTGCTCAGCTGATGCCAAGATTGTCTTTTACAGTACAGATCGAAACACCCGTGTTATATTCCGCAAATAAGCAGCATGCTGATCCCAAAACACTGCTCATCTTATCTGGGTTCAACGAGGTGAATAAAACACCCCAAACCAAATGAGATGGAGCCCAGACAGATGGCAACAACCCATCGTTTCTCCACGCTAGCCAACGTTAGCCAAAGCTCGTAAACTAACCTAGCAAACTTGCAATGTCTGTGACTACCGAGAAGCAGAGTGGCTTGTATTACATCAAAATCAAGTGGCATTAGACCGATTAACACTTCCGTTAAAGCTAACAAGCTCTGGTAATAAATTGCGTGAAAAGCATAGTTTAAGTTGGCAAAACAAGCCTATCGCTAAAGCTAACTACACTTAGCTACGTAACTTGGCTAGCATGCTAGTTACCACGAAAGCTTCGAAGGAGAGCGAAACTACCGAGAACAAGCCACCCCATCACCCAGTCCTTCTTCCCCTAACTATGCAATCTTTTTAAAAACATGCTGAATATTTTAAGTAAATATTTCGTGCAAATAAATGGAAGTTACTAACGGTTTAGCGGCTCAGCTTCTCCGCATGAAAAGATGTGGCGACTAGGCCTCGTGTGTGTCTGTCTCTCCCCCCCACTTTGCCTCGTAGTCAACCCTCCCTCCCCCTGCAAGGATGAAAACATGATGATGATGGTGGAGGATTTGGCTTAGTGCTCTCTCACAGCTCAACGCTGGCTTCCCATGCTTCTTAAAGCAGGACGTGGACTGTGCGGAGTGTTGTGCCCCACATGTCACTGAGTGAGGGAGACAACATCCAGCGAGAGGGTCAAGAGGTCAAGACTAGTTCAGCTCAGTATGTCAGCTGCATAGATGAAAAGGTTACTGGCAGACACTGAGAAATCAATGCTAATCATAATAATCCTTTATAGCCTTTGTGGTCTTTTCAGATTCAGTATTCAAAACACTTAACTACCTAATTATTCAAAAATATTCTTTTGTTATTGCAGGAGGTGCAGATATGTAAGGCATACAGAAGAGACTGATGGTTGAAAAAGAAACATGTTAGTGGCTGCTTTGCACCTGCAAAGGTAAAAAAGAAAAGATTTTTCTTTGTGGTGTCAACAGCTGCATTGGCAACAACAGAGAATGTTCAAGCAGATTTGTTTTCTGTTAGTGATGATCTTTTTTCCCATTTTCCTTTTAAAAAGGGATGTTGGAAAAGTCTGTTGCTTTATGTAAAAGGGAAATAATTTAAAACTTGATGAAGCATCTACAATCAGTTTATATAAACATAAAAGAAACAGCAATGAGATCTGAGGAGAAGTCACATAATTTGTAATGATTTCACAGTGATAAGGTGACTCAAGCGTAGATGCCTCTATTCATACATTAACACTAGTTAAATGCAAGATTTCTTCTTGATGGAAGAAATCCATCAGTGAAGAAATGCTGGCACTCACAATTGTCACAGTTTTTGTTGCTTTTGCCAAAGTAATGTTTATATATCTGTCATACATTAGTCTTTCGGGAATGTTTATCAAGGTAACAGCTTAGTTTAGTTAGCTTACTCAGCTTTTAGTTTTTGTGTCTGAGATGTATCGACATTACTAGCTGGCTGAACTGGCTGAGTTCAGATTTATTAGTTTAGAATGAGTGAAAAACGTTCCCTGTCATGCTTTTCTTGCTTTCATGTGGTCTGCCAGCCTGTGCATTTTACCTAGATTAATTAATTATACCATTAATGAACTGCAGTTTTGACATTGCTTACATTTTGACATAAAACATAAGAAATAATCCGTTACATTTTGAAATATTAGAGCCAGAATGTGTGTGAATGTTACAAATTTACAAACCCTAGTGCAAAAAAGTTGGAACATTATGTACTTAATGTAAATAAAATTAGAATGCAATGATTGCAATGGGTGAGAACAGGATGATTGCAATGGGTGACAACAGGCATCAAACTGGAATAGTATTTAATGCATGACTAACGAGGATTATAAAAGTAGTCAGCAAATTTGATAAAGTCTGTTTAGCATGAAGGGATATAAAGTACACACTCTTAATTCACCTTTCACGTCATCGGTTTAACCTGATGTCAGTGGGGATTGAACATTTATATGGAAATTTACTGAGAATCAGTCCCTGTTTAAACTGGCTTAAACTGTGTGATCCGAATGTTTTGCCTCCATTTTTACAATTTCCGTTTTTATTAATGCAGAGATCAGAAAGCAGTGAGATCAAACCCAGTGTTATACAGCAGTGTTATACAAAAGCCTGCTCCTGTGTTCCCAAACTGTGTTTCAAAAACAACTAATGGAAAACCCACGATTCCCAATTTAGCAGGTTCTTCCTTCCATCTGCTGTGGCTGAATTCTTTAAGTTTGTTGGTGCTTTGTCACCCTCAAGGGGACTAAAATGGTATGACATGATAACAAAACGCATGATGCGATAACTATGCTCCAGATTTTATTGCAACACTGACAGATACTGTTTTCCAGTTGAATACTTTTAAGAGAATAATGTGTTTTGCCACATTATCTCATAAACTTTGTGGAACTTTTCTACTGTTTGTAAGTTAAATTAACGTCATAAACATTATAAATAATTTTAGTGATTTAAATAATGAGACAAAACCAGCAAAACCTGTTATCCTTACTTATGTGTGAAAATAAATTGCAACATATTTGTCAGTTTTCAACAGGAAAAATAACTTAATTAGTTGATACAATAACATGTAGACTTAACTGAAGAGTTTACCACTTAACTCCAGAAGAAGAAACACATCGAAACACAAACACAAATTTTTAAATTGTAGTTTTATTATTGGTGCTCTTAATACAATTACACACATGGCAGTGATATCAAAGATAAAACACAGAGGAGACACATAAGAGCAACAGCTGCATTTCATTGGTTCAGGAGATTTCCTTTTTTGTCTGCTAACACAGTGACACATTATGTTTTGAGTATATCTCTGTAATTTGAAATTTAATACTGATAGTGTGAAATTAAATCACGTCAATCTACTTACAACACCAGCTGGAAAACATCTGCACTCAGTTGCTTCGTCTACGTCCCACAGTCCTCTTCACATTCATCAGTTTTTGTGTTTGGACTGTGCATTCAGTCTGCAATAAAAGAAATCCATTTCCAGTTTAAATGCAGTCAGAATTTCGTGTTTTGTCACTGAGCATTCAACCTGGT